ACTGACGAATAAGTATCACTATAGACAATTCCTTTTCTTTAACTATAACCTTTAGCCACTAGCATAGCTTTGTATGTTTGCACCTTGCCTTCAACATGAATTTTCTCCTTGAAAATCATTTACATCCAATGAGTCCAACCCCAATAAGCAAGTCAACCAAGTTCCATATTTGATTAATACACATCGAGCCCATTTTAGATTTCTTGGCTTCTCACCACCTCTCTAAATCAACATCTAATATTGTTTTAGATGTAGGTCTTAGGTTCATCCTTATTAAGAATCTTAACACATCGTTGCGTTTACCGCTACACTAAACGCAATTGCTGATAGTGTAGCACGCTCCTTTCCCTTTATAGCTCAAGCGAAGCGCCACGTTTCTTTACCCCTTACACCGGCAGGCTGGCAGATTGCTGGCACCGCATACCCGCGACCCACGGCCCAACAATCTCCCCCCAGCACCTGTCAGCCTTTAGCTGCGCAGCATGCTGTCGTCGGGGGTCGAACCCATGACCTTGGCTCTGATACCAATTGTTTGTTCCTGTTTATATGATTACAACAATATATCGATTATATCAAAGATGAGAATAGCAGAAAGATGAGTACACAAAAGATATTTAAACCCTTCTTTGATATAACGTGAACCTTTACAGTAGAATGATGAGTGCTAAGGCTAATAGAGCAAATGCAAAAGTTAACGCAAACCTAAGTCTTACGCGTATACTTATAGGCGAAGGCACGTTTGCGTAAAGATTTTCAGCCAGGTATATGGGCCTGACACTTTGGCCCCATATCCTTTATACCCTAATAAATACAATCATTAATTACACAAGGTATAATAAAGGCTAAGCTATTACAATACATATCTGACAAACTTGATTCACAACAGAATAATCTTCAACATCCTCCATGAGGAAATCAAACCTAGTTAGTTCATGAAGAATCCTAGTAGACCCACAGAGTTGAATATTTTGCGTTTTGTTCAGGTTGTTCATTCTGATTGTGAAGAGGTTCTCTTTAATTAAACTATCTAATGCTCGGAGAGTTTTCTGGTGCTACACTTTTAAGTGTTTCCACAAAAGGAGACGTGGGTGCAGAAGGAATGACAACCATGTCATCTACTCCCTCCGGTTCCAAAAGATCTTTACACTTTGACTTCACAGTTTTTAAGGAAATAAATTTGACTTTACTGTAGAGTACACTGTTTGGCACTATTTAGCACTGTCTGGCGTTGTTTTGTGTAGATTTATTTGCCAAATAAGGCAAATAAGGAAGTGTAGAGATAATTGTGGTACTGATAAAAATGGAGATTGTAAAGATCTTTCAAAACCGGAGGGAGTATTTCTTTCATAAGAATCACTTGCTGGTGCGAGGTGATTCCTATGTTACTCCCACAAACTGAAATACATCTTCCTAGAGACATCCTTCCACTCAATTCTGCCACTGAATCCTTGTTTTGACCATCTAACAAGTTTTTGCCCTCTATGTTATTTTGTGATTCTCGAACTTCATCAAGTTATATCCTCCAACAATTACATTCATTAAAGACCAAGTCTCATACTAGGAATCTTGCTTGTCTGGAAATAATTAATGATTTTATATCCCTCGGGAAGATAAGTTAGTATCCTCTAGTTTCCTTAGGATACCCCACAAAATAATATTTCTCATTTTTAGGTCCCAACTAGTCAATGTCCATTTTCTTCACATATGTAAGGCAACCTCACACTTTAATATGTGTAAGAATAGGCTTCTTATTATACCAAACTCATATGGTGTCCTTTGCACTAACTTAGATGGAACTCTATTCAGAACGTATATTGAGGTTTCCAACGCGTACCCTCAAACAGATGTTGGAAGAGACGTGGAATTCATTCTGGACCTAACTATGTCCAACAAGGTTTTATTTCTCCTTTCAGAAACCCAATTCAATTGAGGTGTTCTTGGAGGAGTCCATTGCGACTGAATTCCTTGACCTTTAAAATAATCAAGAAACTCCTTACTCAAGTATTCCCCTCCATGATCAGATCGTAGAGTCTTGATACTCTTGTCAAGTTGTTTCTCTACTTCAGCCTTAGCTTATACTCCATGAATTTTTCAAAAGCTTCTGATTTGCGTTTCATAAGATACACAAATCCAAACCTAGAGAAATCATCAATAAAATGATGAAGTAAGAAACTCCTCCTCTAGCTTGAGTTGGGAACTGTCCACACACATCTGTGTGAATCAACTCAAGCACTTCTTTGGCCCGCAATCCTTTTCTTTGATTACTTAACCTTGATCTCTTTTTACTTCAAGTATAACTTGTTTAGATTCGTTATTAATAATACGACATATATTATGATAAAAACAACATTGTTACCTCGGTCACAGAATTGAGAAATACTTAGCAAATTGAACTTTAAACCCTTGACTAGAAAAATATTGTCAATTGAATGGTTGGGTGACTTTCTAACTTTTCCCACGGCAACAATCAATCCTTTACCACTATCTCCAAATTTCACCCTTCCACCATTAAATGGCCGTAGTGAGAGGAATAAAGATGAATCTTCGGTCATGTGCTTATAACAACCATTGTCAATGGACCCGTGATTGTTCCCTCTCACTCGGTGTTGTTCCAGGATTAAGGGTTAACGCGTGGAACCCATACCTGATTGGGTTCCATTTTATATTGGTTTGAGGATGGATACCAAACATAGTTAACACTTCTTTCTATAGCTTCGAGTCGAGAGAAACATTGATAACGAAGATGGCCGATTTTGCCACAGTGCATGCAAACCCGATTATCGTAGGTATCAACGTATTTAGGATTTCTCATTCTGCTAAAAGCATGATTTCTTTTATAAATTGTCTGGTTTGACGTTTGTCCATAACCATTTTTGTGTCTTTGAACCACTTTGTCGAATCAGGTAGGTCCAGTTCTAGATTGTGTTCTATTTGTTCTAGAACTGGTTTGTCCTTTGGTTCTGTTTCCTTCAAATGACCGATTCAAAAAAATTTTGGTATTTCATTAAAGTGAGCGTCCTTGGTTTTGTATCCGAGATTAGCTGTCTCGTTCTCTTTATTATTGTACCAAGAGGACCCAATTTTAGAATAAGGTCTAGACCTGGTTTTGTTCTTGGCATTGTACGGCAGATATTCTGGACCGGTTCTTTTATTTTTAAAATCTTGTATCTCGGCCTCAAGAAAATTAAGATGGCTAATTAGCACATCAATGTTGGGAATTTTTGAGAGAACCTTTTCTTCATGATTGACTTGTTTGTTCATGCTACTAGGTTTTAGTGAACAAATAAGACTATCTTGTTCTAAAACCACTTCAATGTACTTAAGCTTTTCATCTATTGACTCTCCACTTTAGTTTCAAGCCTTAGCTTTGCTCGTGTAGTTTCCTCGAGTTTAGATTCAAGCTGAGTGATATGTGATTTAAGAATCTCATTTTTAAAAAGATTTTGATTGAACTCGATAGTTAATCTTTTAAAAAATTTCCGAACTTTGGTTTTGGGCAAAGAATCAAATTTAGAGAGAAAATTTTCTAGATTTACCTCAAAGTTTTCTTGGTCGGATTCCTCATCAGAATTAGCCATAATACACAATCCAACATGATTCGAGCTCTTACCACTCTCTTCCTCATCATCATCGGATGAGTCTCCCCAAGCTGCTATCATTGCCCTTTTGAGATCTCTATTGGACCCTTTGTCCTCATTAGACCTTCGGTTGGAACTTCCCTTATTTTTATCATGGGTTTTGTCATTCTTCTTTTGTGGGCAATCCTTTGCCCTGTGTTCAAAAGAATTACAAACAGAACAGCCTTGATTATTAAAGGATGAGAGTTCTTTTTACCTTGTTTTTCCTGTTACTTTTGAAGCATCGGTGCATCTTCCCGAATCACTTAGCGAACATGCTCATTTCATCATCATATTCACTTTCAGATTCTTCTTCCTCTTCTCGTGCTTTTAGACATATTCTCCTTTCTTTTCTTACATTTCACCCATCTTGCTCTTCTTGTAGTCCTAACTCATATGTCATCAGTGAACCCGTCAAATCTTCAAGAGTCATTGTTGATAGAGCCTTGGCTTCTTTTGTAGCCGTAGTTTTAGGCTTCCATGCAGTGGATAAGCTCCTCATGACTTTCCTTACTTGATCTTCAACAGATATATTCTTTCCAAGTGCTGAATATCTATCCACCTACTCAACATCTAATCTCATTATTTTCAACCACCTCAATAAATGTCCCTGGACAGATAAAAAAACATACTATATTAAATAGAAATATCTCCGATCAGATAAAATATATGAATTTTATCAATCCAGGACCGAAAGATAGATGAATTATCAATTAGAGACCTAAAAGGTGAAATGTATCGATATAAGACCTGAATGATGAAAAACTATCATTGTAGGACCTGAATGATTTAAAATTATCAATCTAGGGCCTAAGTTGACATGAATTTTATAAATTTTTCTATTTTAAATTTTTTAAATATTATTTAATTTTAATAAACTAATAAACTTTTGTAAAGACAAATTTATCAAAAACTAGCAATGCAATTAATAAAAAATTAAATAAGTCAAAACCTATGAAATGTTAGGTCCTAAATTGATAGTTTTCCATCATTCAAAGAAGCGAGGAATATGTGGAGGCCGGAGAGGAAGACTCTCCCTTTAATTAATATTACTATGTATAAACATATAACTATTTTCGTCTCAAATTATTTTGCAAAGTCAATATTTTTTGGTCAATCAATGTTAAGGTTAAATCCACTTATTAATAATTAATTCAATATTTATAATTAAAATTTAATTAAAATTTAAATTAAATTAAATTAAAATCTCTATAAAGTTGCAAAATTAAAATTTAATGAAGAATTGATATCATATTCACTCAAAAAGTCAAATTTTACAACTCAATTTTCACAAATAATGAGTTTTGTGTACAAATAATGATTACAAGAATGATTAATAATGCAAATAATTGAAAAGTAAACAAAATATATTGTGGATATTTTGGGCCTCTCTCTATCTTGAGGACATATTGCCCATGTCTACGTGGCATCTCTACCCTCTCACCCTAGCAACTCGTCCTCTCTCTATCTACTCCGTCTTTCGCAACGGCGGACGATTTGTTTTCTCCCCACAGGTCTACTCCTCTCTCCTCTACTTTTCATAATCTGATTTTCTCGGCGTTTTTCTGGGCCTTTGCATTCCTTTCGTTCCATCTCAGATCCCGGGTTCGGCCTCTTGGATCCCTAACCAGTTAACCCCTCTCTTTTTATCGTTTTGCCTGATCTGAACGAACATCTATCTGATCCGTTGATCTGTAGCATGGAAAGGGTCGTCGGAGGTAAATTCAAGCTCGGGCGTAAGATCGGAAGTGGGTCTTTTGGAGAAATTTACCTCGGTAACTGATAATCCTTTTTTTCCTTATCCGCTTTTATGTGCTCCTGTAATATTTGCTTTGTGCTGAATTGCCTTTCTTCGTTGCTTCTGTATTCTCTACAGCCACGCATATCGATACGCTCGAGATTGTTGCCGTCAAAATTGTAAGTTCAACTTCAGTTTAAGCCGTTTATGGTGCTGTTCGATTGTTTTTTGGTCTTTTGAATGATCTAACAAAGATTACTTTTTTGTGCGTTTGATATGAACACGTAGCTCAGTAATTGATATTTTTAAAATCCTCAAAACTTGATAAATATGGATTTTGGCAGAATGTTAGTGAGAGATGATATTTGTAACAGGTAACCAAATACGGAGTATTTAAATAGTGTCTGGTTATATGCAATTATGTGTCAGAAGTTGCTGCTGTCACCTACATGTATGCATGCCTCCCAATCAAGAATCTTCTATTTCACATCATTTCCTTTTAGCGTAACTGCATAAGTAGCAAACACGATGCACAGATTTTTAAGTGTCCTTAAAATAAGAGAAAAGTGGTAGTGTAGACTGTTCTAGAAATTATAAGACATTCTGACATGCTACAGTAAATGATATTTTTTTCTTGCGACTAGCCGAGTTATGCTAAAGAAAGCTTAAGTTAATGATGCTTGTGAAGTTTCTTCCAATATTCATTTGCACTGGTACATTAAATATTTTTAGAGCACCAGTTGCTTGTATTATGTTGTGCCCCCCCCCCCCCCCCCCAAAAAAAAAAAAAAAAATAAGACTAAGAATTCCCCCAAACACATTTGCATAAACTTAATAATCCCCACCCTAATGGGTTTCTTTTTCTTGACAGGAGAATAATAAGACTAAGCATCCTCAACTTCTGTACGAGGCCAAGTTGTACAATGTTCTTCAGGGAGGAAGTATGTTTTAGTTGAACAAATGAGTATTTCTAATCGAAACTAAATATGTAGTGCATGTCTGTATGATACAATGGGTTAAAGAATAGAGTAGCTAAAAATCTTTAATGGCTTGATTTACTGATCAACAACATTTGACCATTTGTATCTAGGTGGTATTCCCCATATAAAATGGTCCGGAGTGGATGGAGATGACAATGCTTTAGTCATGGATTTGCTGGGTCCAAGTCTCGAGGATCTGTTTGTATATTGTGGTAGAAAGTTTTCATTGAAGACGGTTCTAATGCTGGCTGATCAGATGGTAAATTTAAAGCTCTGATATGGACATGACTGTATTTCCTATGCCTTGCACTTCATATAAATGATGCTCATAATTTCCTTATTAGGATCGTTTATCATAAATGCTCTCTCTTTTCCATTTGGACAGATAACTAGGATCGAGTACGTGCACTCCAAAGGGTTTTTACATAGAGATATCAAACCAGATAATTTTCTTATGGGCCTTGGTCGTAAAGCAAATCAGGTAATAATACCATTTGAGCATCAGTTCTGTTATTTTGGTGGCTCTGTTCGATTGGCTCTTATGATTTCACCAGTCTGTTCTCAGATGAACATTTCTCCCCATTGCTAAGTGATTTTCTCTCAAATATTTACTTTTCAGGTTTACATAATTGATTTTGGTCTTGCTAAAAGGTATAGGGATGCAACTACAAATCGCCACATTCCTTACAGGTAGATCCCCATATACATTAACATTTCCCACTGCACCCAAGCCATCTTTTTAATGCATTAGATGTTTTTTCCAGTATTATCATCTTGACTGTCTTCGGTATGTAAATAGTGAAGTAACAATTTTTTTTGGTAAATATCTGACTTTGTGAGGATGACACAATACCGTTTTAAACTTCTAACTATTCCTATAAGCTTTTACAAGTTAAGGCTTGCTGCAATTATGTGACTTAATTCCAATTTTAACATTAGAAATATGATGCTTCTATACCATTTCCCGACGATTTATAATTTATTTATTTTTTGTTTTTCTCCAGAGAGAACAAAAATTTAACCGGAACTGCACGTTACGCGAGCTGTAATACTCATCTCGGAATTGGTGAGAATTCATACAACACTTCCTCCATGTTTTGTAAATACTATTAAAGAGGAGGGAAAAGAAATGCAAATATTCTTATATACAACAACAACATCCAAGCCTTAATCCCAAAAGAATTTGGGGTCGACTAACATGAATCGATCTATGATATCGATGCCAAAAAGAGAAGACGGAGCGATATTCATATTTCGATTCATGTCATGTGATGTGACTAAGTGGTACTGTTGGCCGTCACGTGCCTACCACAGCACCCTCCTCCTTTATCCTGGCTTGGGACAGGCATGATACCAAAAAATGATCTCATGGCGGAGTCATGCAAATATTCTTATATGAGTTGTATATTTTGACAGTTATTGGATGGAACTACTGATTCTTTATCTAAAAATTTCATGGACTTATCTATGTTTTGCAGAACAAAGTAGGCGGGATGATCTTGAATCTTTGGGATACGTACTTCTTTATTTCTTGAGAGGGAGGTAAAAAAAAATTCCTTCAGTTTTTGGCCTACTGTATCTTATGAAATGTATACATGCATATATGGAAAAGTTTCCAATAAGTACCACCTTTGCATATATGGAACTTCCTTCCTAGTGAGTGGAAGCCCATTCAAAGCATTATTAGGTTACTTCAAAGATAAAATTTCCCAACTGTCCCATCTGAAATGATATAATTTATGTGAATACAAGTATACAACAACAAAATACTTTCTCTATGGAGATTCCCTTATAATAATAATGCCCGCTTGAGTGTAGCTAACTAGCTAAGAGAAATGGAGTTTGCTATGCCAGTATTCTAATAAATCTTATTGTTTTAGCTGGGCTGGGAAACAGCTAAAGGAGCCTAATTAGTGAAAAGTTTAAATCTTTGAAGTGATTTAATGACTGAAAGCTTTCCTGACAGATTTTCGTCAGTCTGATCTCAGTAATGATACATTATTCATGCGATTTCCGTCAGTCTGGTCTCAGATTTCATTTGAAGTAACTTGTGTTTTTAGCAGCTTACCATGGCAAGGTCTCAAAGCTGCCACCAAGAAGCAAAAATATGACAAAATATGTGAAAAGAAATTGTCAACTCCTATTGAGGTGTGTGTGTATAATATCTTCTTTTAACTCTCAAGTTATACATAAGACTCTTAATTTGCTTTTGTATGAATTGAAGGTCTTGTGCAAGTCTCATCCTGTAGAGTTTGCATCATATTTCCATTACTGTCACTCAATGACATTTGATCAGCGGCCTGATTATGGCTTTGTAAAACGTCTGTTCAAAGAGCTATTCACTCGGGAAGGTTAGTCTACAGTGGATCTGCAATATGTTTTTTATCAATGTTGTACATGATTCAATGTAGTGAAATGCAACATCTGCATGTCATAATTCTTAGTTGGTATACTGATTAGTCATTCCTTTTAATGCAATGCAGTTTCTGACTTTCCTCATAGCTATAGATTCCCCATATGTATTGTACTGGAGTTAAGCTGATTATTGTGTGTTTCATGCAGGGTATGAGTTTGATTACATATTTGATTGGACGATCCTAAAATATCAGCAGGCACAATCAAGTAGAACACATCAGCGGGTATGTTGGTTTAGCTAATATCTAGCAGTCACCAGTCTCACTCGTTTTATCTTAAAGTTGCCAGTCTAACGTGTGATAGTTACAATGATTTGATTTTTATTGGTTCACCTTCTACATAGTTTGACTCCTATTCTCCTTTATAGTATGTTGATTTAGTTTAAATTTAACAGCCACTGCATGGAGAGAATAGCCGGGTAGCTCCATTGAATTCAGAAAAGCATCAAGGTCAGGTCAAGCAGTTGCACATGTTTGATCTTAGAGAAATTTTGGATTTTGTAAACAAACTGCTTATTAAGATTCTGGCATCAAATGGAAACTCTTTTAAATGACTTACCAACTAGTGAGGTATTTTGTTGATTTATTGATGGTGCCATGGCGGATGGTCAAATTAAGCCATTTGGTGCTGGCTCGTGAATCCCCCATGGGAGCTAGCACAAAATCTCCATGCTGTTCCACTATGTAGCCTCCCAGGCTGCCATTGAACAACACTGAATTTGTTTGCTCCTAGTCCTGTTTTATTTATTGGTTCAGTATAAAAAAGGAAAGCTCAAATCAAACTATTATTGTTGTCAGCAATGCATTGCATACAAGCACTAGACTTGCTTAACATCTCTCCTTGCATTTTCATTTTACTGCAAATTATTGATAAATCGTTTGCTGCTTTCTCCATTGCAGTGAGAAACAATGCTAATTACACTGCTGAGTTGATAAAATCAACCATTCCTACTAGTCCTCGTGCTCGTGCACAATTCAAGTCATCTGCAAATAGGAATTTAGCTTCTGGCAATCTCGAGACAGTTGATAGAAGCGTAAGTATTACCCCCTGCCTCATTTTGGACTATAGATTTTTTCCCTTTGTTTAAATTGCGTTGTTTCTTTGTTCTTGCATATTGTTTAACAATTTTTTATAATAATATATGAATTTTATTGATTAACTATTATACAACATTAAGCTTAGAATGACTTTAGTGGACCTCCTTATTCAAGACAGAAAACCATTTGGGTTCAAAGGAAAAAACTTTATTGTTGATACACATGAAATAATAAACTGATTTCCTTTCTTTTCATTATAAACTACAATTTCAAGTGTGGTATGTTACTTAAGTCTATTATTATTATTTATCTTCAGATGAATTAGACAACCTAATGAATCTAATTGTTCTTATAGATGCTGAGCAATACATACATGGCATCTACATCTTTGTCTCCTGCTGGTATTGGAAGAGTAAATGCAACCAAACCTGCTGAAACCAACAATCCTGGTCATGTAAATGGTGATAGTGCAGTTTCAGGCAGCTGGATTTCTTCTTTGCGTCGCATCTCTTCAGCAAAGTGAAAGTATGACTTTTCTTCTTTCTCGTCCTTTCCCCCCTTAAACAACTCTATTTGATATTTGGTGACATAACAAGCTTTATTTGTCCTTCCAGGTGTGGTGTAGAAAGAGGAGTTGCTGAAATTGGGGGCATACTTGGTGTTGCATCAATAGAATAAGAAACATGGCTATGAGAGGAAGGTTGGTTTCATACTACTACTGCCTCATCGCTGCAGTTCTGAGAAGATAAAGGAGATATGCATCAGTTGAACGGCGGGCGGAGAGCAGGGATCAGAGGGCACAGTTGTCACTATTCATCTTGTCAAGGCTCGGGTTAGACTTTTTTCCTAGACGATTGTGCTGTACGTGGAACGTATCACTTTCTGAATTTTTAGGAAAGTTTTAGTTCATGTAAAATTATGTGTGGTTTTAATTATTCTTCATTATCATCAGCAAGAATGTTTGTTTCTATTGTGCATATAGAGCGATGGTCGACTGGTTGTTTCTCACCCACTCAGTCGCATCTCTTCACTGGGTTGAGCAAGTTGTTAGTAATGTATTTTCTTGCACTAGAAAACCATTTGTAATCGAAAAACACAATTGCAATGCTGTCGTGTATTATTTTTTCATCATTGCACAATAATGGGAACTTTGATAGACATCCCAGTGCAATCATTGTTGTCTAATGTCTTCTTCCATTGTCATGTTTACATAATTTCCCGCTGCAAAAGGCGGGCCCCACTATGTGAGTCTGGGTCAATGTTTCATCCAGATATAAGGTTCAAGAAACTTGAATGGAAAGCGATCTGAATACTACGGACTTATTTCCAACCAAACTTGGCTTATTGATTACTGACAAAGTTATCCCCAGCGATAAAAATAAGTCATTGGTGATTGTTTTTCCATTTGCAGGGTTCGGATTTCTCGCTTCCCAGCTCCCTCAGATCAAACGGTTCAACAATACAAATGTTGGTTCCAAGATGGCACAGGAAGGCGCCCCACAATATAGATACTCACTACTCAGTTGTTCTTTGAGTAATGAATGGTATAATGCTGGAAGGGTTCATTTACGTACCTTCTTGCCCTTCACGAATTAACTTAGGCTTTCATTCATGATAAGGGCATGATTGGAATAAATTTCTCCAAGGGCAATACTCCCTTCAAGGCAGTTCTGTGACCGGAGTCCAGAAGGTGGTCCAAATCATGGTAAAAGTTCTCCAAAGCTCGTTCGTGCTGACTGCTGAATGTAAAATAGTGGAAAATTGGAAATAAAAGGTGTTTAGCTATGGACGAAGGCACAATTAATGTTTATGTATTAATGTTATTGCCCTAGATATCCACGCCATCGATGCCACTCAACATAAGAATTTATCAAACAAAAACGTAGGGTGGGCTATTTAAAAGGTAAAATGATAAAATATGAAAATAAATAAAAGTGATTAGAGCATTGAGTTTTTACTAACTTATCATATTTAAATACTACGTATTTGCTATAAAAAAATATTCAAGTCAAAGTGAATAATATATGGAGTATTTGATGAGAATAAGTTAAAATGCGTGTTGGTTTACTATAATAATAAAGAAATATGATTAGAACATGATTTGTAGTTTATGTGATGATACTTCATAGTTCATACATAGTTTATACCTGATTTTGACATAAATTTGGGTATGATTAGAAATTCAGTCATTTAATATGCACCATACAACTGAACCAAATATCAAGTTCGAATAAATAAAATATGCTGTTGGTTTTATGGTAATAAATAAAAATGGGGTAAGGGTCAGATAGGGTCTTAAACTTACGAAAAAATATCAAATAAGGTCTTATATAAGATGATCTGTTCGGCCAACGCCATTTGGGGAGGTTCCCGATGGATTTTTTTGATGAATTTCTTTAAGAATCTTATTCATTAAGTCTAGTGTAGTTATACCAAATTTGAATTAAAAATTCAATTGAGAAGATATTCAAATAAATTCTTTAAGATAATTGCGCTTTTAATTGTGCAGTTATTTTCTAGAATTCATTTGAATGTCTTTCCAATTGAATTTTTAGTTCACATTTGATATGAGTAAACTAGACTTAATGAATAAGATGATCAAAAAATTTAACCAGGAACCACCCCAAATGGCGTCGGACATACAGAACATTCTATATCTATATATGATGGAAAGTGAACCCAGGGGGTAGCTTATCCGAGGGGTTATTACGGGGAATAACATGAGAGAAGTCAGAGCAAGTAAGTATATAGAGAGAAAGTGTATTAGAAAGTGTTCAGTGTTTTCAGCGTGGTTACAAATGGGAAAATGAGGTGCTATTTATAGTAGCAATAAATGCTGGACAGGGACACGTGTCAAGCGTCCATTGGCCGAGAGGTCACCTCAACCGGTTGGCACTAGCAATTGCATGTGGCCGCATTTAATGCGGCTGTTGGATGGGACGTTGTACAGGGTACGGTGATCCATACGCATGTGGAGCGGATATTATGTCGGGAAAGGTGCCTTCGGCTGTAGATGACTAGCCGAGGGCTCTGAGTACTGGGGACCCCCTTAGTGTCGAGGAGTCGAGGGCTCCAGTTGCCGAGGGCTACTGATATTCGCCGTTTTTTCTCAGTAATTTTGTTTTCCTGTTTTGGCCCTCCTGTGGGAATTAGAGCCTTCGGCCATGGGGTCGAAGGCACCCCTGGTGCGCGTGGTGGGCTGCTTGGTGCCTTGGGCGCCGTGATTTGGGCCTGTTGTGCTTCCTGGGCCTATTGGGCCTTCATTGGAGTAGTAGGAGTCTGTGGGCCGGGGGTTCCCGGACCATATACTCCATCAGGAGTCACTCACTCCTTTTGCCGAAAGGTACTTGAGGGAAAAGGAGTAATTGTGTTTGTCCTCTGCCGTTTTCCGTTGCAGTTTGTAGAGTTGTGGGTAATTTGCTGTTTGTTTATTCTGCTGAGGGCAGTCCCTCAGTTACCCACATGTCGGGACTTGAGGGGGTCACGTTTGTGTTTTTTGTGATTTTTCCCGAGGGGGTCCTCCAGTCCCTCACTCCTTGAGGCACTTGCAAAGTGGTGAAAAGGAGTAGAGTAGTTGCGTTGCTGTTTTGGGCCGCAGGCTGACGCTTTTCGTTTCATTTTGTGGGGATGCCTCGTTAAAAACCTTATTAGGAAAAACCCTGTGGGAAAAAAATCCTAATGAGGGAAAAAGAGTGCACCGAATTCCCCCAACGATGAATCGAAAATGTGAAACCTTGATTCGAAATGGAGAATAATGCTGATGCCGAAGGCTTTCCTTGTTCTGAGGGCTCATGTGTTGATTAGCCGGAGGCTTGTTGTTGATGTCCTGGGAGGTGCCGAAGGGGGGTCCCTCAATCCGGGGATCGAGGGCGTAATGAATGCGAGTAGTAGTTGAAGTGTTACCGGGATGTCCCCTGTTTGTTGATTAGTTGGTGAGGAGGGTATCCGAGGGGTCCCGTTACCTGTGTGTCGTAGGCTGTCTGTCAATGTGGCGTACTCCCCGGGGGCTACCCGGCCCTCAAAGTGCTGAGGGGGGATCCCCGAGGGGTGGCCTGATATTGAAGCCGTGGGCTTCTGAAGGAGTGAGCCCGAAGGCATTTGTCAGGTAGTGTGTGGGACACAAACCGGGAGCGTCTCTGGGTAAGCCCGGGGGCTAATTTCTTGGTTGATGAAGGAGTGGTCTGCCAAGTGTAGCCGGAAGCTCCCAGAATATAGTCGTTGGAGATATAGCCGTTGGAATATCTAACGTCAGGATATAGCCGTTGGGGGGGGGGGGGTTGCCACGTGGTGTGTGCTCGTTGGCTGCCCGTGGGCGGGCGTCATCGATTGGGCGAAACCACGGTTTGTAATGATGGCAGTCCAACCGGAGGCCCGGTTTCCAGGCCCAAGCCCGGATCCCTTTGCCTATAAATACCCCATGGCCGGACACCATTCTCCCTGTGCGATTACTTGTTAGCGAAGCTCTGCCGGATTTTTTCTAGAGAGAGAAACACTGCCCTCGATCTAACTCCCGCTTTGAGGTCAGGTCCCCCATCTGTTCTTCTCCCTCCTTAGCTAGTTGTAGCGGCCTTAGATCTAGGACTGTAACCTAGAACACTTAGTGTTTTCGAGCCCTCGAACCAGTGGAAAGATGTCCTCTCAAAGTGATTCCCAGGACATATCGAGGGATCCCTCGATGGAAGAGGAGAGCTTCTCGGACGCGGGGTCATCGAGCGAGCCCTCGGCCCAGGAGGATGTCGCGATGGCGGTGGAAGTGCAGAAGGAGTTGGTGGCCGAAGTCGAAGCCGAGGGCTTCGAGCAAGAGGCGGAGGATGAAGAGCTTGCCCTCGCCGTACAAGTTGCAGAGGAGGAGGAAGAGAAGGAGAGGCTGAGGGTGACCGTGGCTGTTCTTCCCCCTCGGGGTGCTGGCGAGGCAGGGAGCTCTCAGCCCCTCAACCCGACGCCGATAAGAGTGGCCCCCGGGAAAAAACAGGAGAAGAAGAAAACCGCTCCTAAGAAGAAATGCGTTGCTGCTGATCAGGGGAAGCCCATAGATGTGCCCGAGGGGTACTCCTGACTGAATACTGCTGCCCTGGAGATAGGGTCGAAGGTTGACAGGGAAGATATGTACGTGACTCAGCTGCACGTGGGTCCTTCGGCTGTGGTGGTGGCGCTGGGCCCTGATGACGTGCTTTCCCGGGCTCCCGAGGGTTGCATCGCCGTACACATTCTGTCGGTGTCAATGGAGCTCCGGTTCCCCCTGCACCCATTCCTTCGGGAGTATCTCCGGTATGTGGGCTTGGTCCCCTGCCAGTTGACGCCTAACAACCACTCCTACGTGGCGGGCTTCCTGAACCTCTGTCGGGCCCGAGGGGTGACCCCCAGCCTGGACTTGTTTTTTCAGAGCTTCAACCTCTGTCGAGGGGGTCACACGAACACCGAGGGCTTCGCCAATCTGCAACAGGTGGCTCGGTGGAAATTATTCACAGAAGCGCCCTCGTCCAACAAAGGCTGGAAGGAGCGGTGGTGCTACGTTAGAATTGCCGAGAGCCTCTTTCCTATGGAACTTCGGGATCGCTTCCGTCGGCATCCGAAGGTCGGAAGTGCTGCTCTGGAGAAGGATGGCTTGATAATAGCCAAGATCCCGGAGGGTCGCACGAAGCAAGTGTCCATTAAGGACTTCACTGCTGACAAGGAGCTATTCGCCCTCGGCTTCCGCAGATATCGCTTCCTCGGCGAAACAGACGAGAAATATCCCGTGCTGGCAGGAGGTAGTATCCGAGGGCTTCCCTTTTTTTTGTACATAGCATCCCCCCCCCTTTTTTTTTGCTTTCCCTTCAGTCTAACCCCTTTGTTTTTGTCGGCAGGTGTTAATATGGACGCTGGTAAACTTTTTGCGTTGAAGAAAAAGAAGGGCAAAACCCAAGCCCAGAAGAAGGACCCCTCGGTCCAACCGCCTGTGGGAGCCTTCTTCCAAAAAGAGACTCCGGAGCCCTCTGCTGCGGAGGGAGTTGCCGGGGTGGCCGAGGGGGCCACCAAAAAGAAGAAGGGGAGCGAGGCGGTAGAGCCCCCGGCTAAGAAGCAGAGGGGTACAGGGGGAACCGTCGGCCAGGATGCCCCCTTGGTGATCATTGAGGATCGCCCTTCTCCGGATCCCCCAGTTGATGCTGTGGCGACAGCCCAAGCCAATCCTCCCGTGAGAAGCCCCCTCGGGAGATCTTGCAGCTTTCCTTGGCCCCGGGGGCTTCCGTCCTACATGGCTCAGCGGAGCCGAAAGCTTTCTTGAGGGGGATGACCTCGTTAATGGACAAGGCTGCCCTCTCAACCTATGATGATGAGGCCCTCGAGAACAGGATCCTTCGGTCTTCATTAACTGTAAGTTCGTTCCTTTAGGTTTTGTGTTTAACTTTTAATGCTCTTTTCATGTTAACCTGACCCCTCCCCCTGTTGTTTATCAGGCTTGCGTAGCCCTCGGGGAGCACGCACAGAGGCTTGAGCAATGGCGCCTCTGGAAGGCGGAGCAGGATCGGGAGATGAAGGAGCTCATCCTGAAGAACTCCGATGCTGTAAAGCAGATGGCCATGCTGGAGGAAGATCTCCGGAAAGCTGCCGAGGGAGCTGAGCTGAAGGTCAAAGCTGCAGCGGAGGAAGCCAGGCTTGAGGCCGAGAGGGCAACTAAGAAAGCCGCCGAGGAGGCAGAGCTTGCTAAGGCCGAGGCCGTCGCCAAAGCCCGGGAAGAAGCTGTTGCCGCATTCATGGCCGAGGGCTGGAAAGCCGAAGATAGGCGGCAGTGGGTGGCCTCGGTTGTGGAGTCATCGGTGGATGACTGGGTGAAGGGCCCCGGGGGAGACTGGATGGCGGAAAGGG